CCTTCCTTTTTCTTACACCTTTTTCAGCTTCCTGCAGGTACTCCACCGAAAACAGATATGGCACGGGTGACTTCGTCCTACACCGTTATTAAAGCCTTAGATATTCCGGAGGGATATAAGTTCGAAACTTCTAAAAGCCCCCAACTTCGCATGTATCTATTCTCGACCATCAGTTGTACGTTGCAACGCTACCTCCATAAAGTGCGCCAAGTGTGATATTGATATGTTTTTTACGAAATCCACTTACATTGATATCTTATGAAATATCAACCCAGCTGAGTAATTTTCAACAATGAAAATTGTAACTACTTTAACAATTTGATCTTGCCCGTAAACCGGCATGCCTCATGTAACAATCTGTTATTTGAGAATAAATTATTATTATTAAAACAATAGAAAATATTATGCCTACGCAAAATAAGGAAGTAAATAAATACTTGAGCCATACTGTTTTGACATCACCAAGATATTTTCGGTCAACTCTTTAGAGTTCGATATAGGTTGTTACATGTCAACCGAACCAAAAGACGTTCAGTAATTTAGCAATAAAAATATATTCATTATTAACGATCATAGTTGTAAATCCAACCATCTCACTTGAAATTATTGCAGACGAAATACACAAAAGCAATGTTAAATAGTCTGAATAATTTGGACAAAAGGTACCATAAAATGAAACAACAAATGAAGACTAGCGTAATGATCGGAACCAAAAGTTATGGACGACCTTTGAACGACTCTTATGTGATTTTGAGAAATATTAGTGTTAGATCCATTTTGAAAGTGAAAATCCCTCCATGCATACATTTGTGATTTCTTCCTTGTGGTTGCTTTATTTGTATATATTGTTAAATTTTTTGATGCTAATTAAGTCTGTAACGTTTAATTTTCTGGGTTTTCTCATCGTTTTTATTGAGTCTCTATGTTCCTTACTGAACTATATTTAGTTTGTTTTAATTGTTATTATTATTCTGACTGGGATCGTGCATTTTTGGTTGTAATTTGAAGCACTTTCCCAGATATTGAAACACTTTGTGTTATAAAACAGCCGCTCAAACGGAATCTTACTTGATCCATCCAGAAAGGATAGAATAACACTCACCTTTTGGTGTTTTCGGTAATTTTCATATATTTCTTACCACTTTGCTATTCATTGTAATTTAGATTGAATATTTTGGTATGAATTGTCGGTTGAATAACTGGGTGGTAATATTTGTTTAGGTAAATTTGTACATTTGTATATATGATGAAATTTAGAACCGTAATTACCCCCAAAACATCTTGTTCTGATTTCGATTGGGGGGTGCGCGTCTCTTATTTTACTCGTCAGTTATTCAACATTTCAAGCCTAGTGGGAAAATAGGTTTGGATCTTACAATTAGTCAATCAGAAACAGCTAGTATCGGGTGAAAATATACTATACAAAACCAAAGAATTAAAGTGGATACACTACTTTTACATGGTCCAAAAACTTATCAAGATTAGAAAGAGGTTCAGACTTTCTAAAATCTTAATGAATAAGCTGGAGGAACTCATTCATATGGCTCCATAATAGTCAGTCTCAGGAACCATGATAAGGTTGAGAAAACTCTTTCAGCCTAGACTAATTAGCTCCAATATTGTTTGTCTGCACTCCTGTTGTGTAAGCTTGTCGTATTTGTCACGTATATATCTCTACAATTTTCATATCACTGAACAGCCGAAGCTTCAATAACATCTGTGAATATTGCAGCCAATGTTACTGGTGCTTATATTATATATATATATATATATATATATATATATATATATATATATATATATATATATATTAATATTAATATTAGTGTTATATATTATATATACTATATTATCATAACTTGCCTTAGTCTCAATCTGGAGCGGGCAAACAAAGTTCCTATTGTAACAAACTTCTTCCTTTAACACATATTACATTCAAAGATAACATCGTCATGGTAGTCTCCACAAGGTCTACAGGTCACTTGATCGCTTTAATTACAAATGAAGGACCTTCTTGGTAGTTCCATTTACAGTAGCCGACCATTCTCTGTGTAATGTTTTGATTTTAGCAGGTTAATTACTGACCACTTAATTCAAGCGACTAAAATGATAGCGTCCCTCAAGCAACACTGCTCAAATCTGTGAACGAAAGCATCCAGACTTCAAAATTCAGACAGAAAAACCGACATTCCAAAAAGATCTTCTAGTGACCAGTTACTTCCCTGCTCAGTGGAGTTTAGCCATATCAAGTGTGAGGCACTTGCCTACTGTAGAACATCAACTTTGATGGTCTATATCGAAATGATTAGAGGGGCCTACTAGAGTTAGACGAGAATGGTGACGAACCAACTAACACTGAAGTCACACCTCGCGACCAGCACCTTACGTGGATTGCCCCCATTGACGTAACAAGGGACTATGGATGCTATGGAGACTGTACAACACAAAGGACGTTATTACAAGAATATATTAGTTAAGGTACAACCACGAAAGTACAGAAGCGAAAGCACGACCACTGCCACGTGGGCCAATCCATGGCGTGTGATTGATTGATGCGCGTTGACTATCTTGACCTTGACAGGGCTCAATGATCTGTTCGATATTCAGTGACCCTACACTACTAATGATATTGGAAGACGGCTATGTGACATTGTGGTGACCTACCTTTGTGACGAGAACGCGATCGGTATAATGGAAACAATTATTATTGTGACAAATTGTACAGTGATTGTTTTAATGTACTTGTTTGTTTAAGTGTACAAAAAACACTTTTCCCTCCTTTGCCTATGATCTTGCACGAACTCACGCTGGGCAAACTTTGGCACGTCTCTGTATTCTTTCGATGCCACGAGATCGCCAACAAATATATCTTATCTGGACCATTAACAGCCTTCTGGTTTTTGGCCTACCGAGGGATCTAACTCGAAACCTGTTACCCGATCTTCCTGTAGTTTTGATCATAGTCAATCGCGACTCGACGATATCTACAATATCATGAGTTGATTTTATTTTGATATATAGATTATTGGTTACCTGGTCAGTGGACTAATACTTAGACGCTCACTATGAATCCTGATCTTGATTATCGGCTGTGTTGTGGATTTACACTTAAAGTGAATAAATGTTCTACCTAACACAGCTCATGCCGCATATTGACAAAAGCCATACAACACAGTACACCACAAAAGTGGTGTGGGAGTGGTTTGCGCCAAAGAATGGGATCTTTATGAACCTTAGCAAGAACAGTGATTCCGATACTTCATTTATCATAGAACCATATGGTGACAAAAGCCTTTACTCTTGAAAACACGCCACCTAGCCCTTCAAAAGCCAACAGTGGCTAAAAAGGAGCTTAACGTTGTACTGGACTTGGAAACAATCCGCTCCTCAAACCGTCCATCTTCGCCCCTCGCTGCCTATTACGACAAAAATTTGAGCGTAAAGTGCTACTATGGACAACTTAATCAAAATTCAACCTCAGATATCACTACTTACTATGTTTTCAAAACCCGACAGTCACTGTTCAGAAATTGACTGCATAAAGCCCAACAAGCAGAAGCAAAAGGATTTTTGATATGCCTTTAAAACAGCTATAGAAACCAGTTCATACATACATGAAGCCCCTGTAACATCTTGCCACTCCCCTTTAGTTCAGGTTATGTGTTCTGATTGTAAATGCTGTGTCCCAGTTGTACTGGTTGACGTTTATTATGATTAAACAGAAATATAGGGTATCTTTAGGAGCAGTAATCCTATCTGGATGTCCCGAAACTGAAGTCAATCGGAATCATAAGAAATTGTTTTATCCAGGAAACCCAAAAGGTAACTGGATAAGATACCAATAAACTTCACAACCCCTGAATAGCTAAGTCCACAAATTGGATGGACAATGGAAGTTGAATTGCTTCCTAGTGTATTACTCCGCACTCTGAAATGCGTCAACCACAAATAAACACTAATGTTATAACCCCCGACCAACAGACAGAATGGCGGAGGGACCAAACAAGGATCAAGTACCAACACTTCAACTTCCTTGATACTTGTATAAATAAAACGTGTGTGAACAGATAGAATGATTGTTCAGAAATCGGGTACAATGTTACTGAAAAATGGAAGACTTTACAAAGACTGATATGAGTTGACGAAATAACAGATCATGTCATATAAAAAGACCATCGACAACTGAACAATTAAGATCTACGTGCAAAAACTCAACATTACAACCGAGTGAGGACATGTAACTCCATGATTCCAGGAAAAAAGCAAAGGGAAAGCTACTTGTATGTCTGAGCACATCTATAGAGACCTCGTAGGTGACTAGATTATGTTTAAATGACTAATGTTACTTCAATTTTCTACAATACACTGATAGTATTATGCAAAACTAGTAATAAGTTTCCAACATAACTTAAGAATACCACTACGCTAAGTAGTCTAATTAAATATTTCCTAATGAACCACTTACTTCTGTGATGCCTCATCATAACTGATAAAAGATGAAAGGCAAAAAGTATCTTAAAATCACTGCTCATGTACAAGAACCCACTAAGGTAAACCTCGTCTTTATAACTTTCACCAGCCCGAATTTCCATCATGAAACAATAGTGATGAAGAAACCCAAATGTCGAGACACTCTAAATTAAACCGTTAGTTGAAACCTAAGCTAAGAATCCCAGAGTGAACATCAACTCTGAGATGCAGGTACATCCAGCTGACGAGACCCAAATAGGGCGAAACGCGCGTCCTGGATTCCACTGCTAGCCACTATCCATCTCTGCTAACTAAGCTTTCATGTTAGTTATCCTTTTTCATTTAAGTTCGCGCAAAAACATTTAATCTAAGCTATTAGCACCATAAAAAAGTTTTCCTCTAAAATATAGCTAGTTCTTAAAATTGAAAATACTCAAAGGAACTATCAAGTTTAGACGAGAAACCAGTCGTTATTTGAAAACATTCAGACGCTAAACTGTGTATCCATCAAGAGTGTAACACTACGTAATCAAAAGAAAGCTATTTACGAATTATATAATTAACCAAAGTAAACACCTTTTAAAAATATATACAAATAATTTTGACAACAGAAAATGCCTAAACACGGTTAAAAAATGTAGAACATATTATTAACGGGATAGTTAGCTGCAATAATACTAAATTACGGTTTAATTGAGAGCAAAGAAAGAGGACAGAAAGCAAGGTAGAGTCAAACCATTGAGGACAAGAAAATTAAATATATAAAGGCTACAATGCTATATTGTGAATATCAACTACCACTAAATATTATGATACAATATTTGATGAACACATATTACTAATGAAAAAAGATATTATATTTTTTTTAAACAAAGTATATAAGCAACCGAAAGCAGCACAAGTAGCTTGAATCACAGTAAGAAAATAACTTTTAAAATAAATCACAAAGAAACTTGAGAAATTAACAAACTATAGAAGTCACTATAATTACTTACAAAACATGAGGACATGAAGAGAAGGAAATGCAATGATGTCAAGAAGAAAACTAAACGTTGAATAAATAACACAGTTTGCTTTTTACATGGGAACTGGTACGCCTTTTATAACTAAAGCCTCTTTAAAAGAGAAAGATTTAGTTTGGAGTCCTGAGTTATTACAAGTTCCTGTGAATGGAAGAGCACCAAAAACAGGTTCATAGTTAGTTGGCTTGATATGATCGATGATTTTTTCGTTAGAACGGTTATTAAGAGACATATTTGAATGCAGTGTAGAATCCATGTTACAATTGTTATTGCTTAATAAAAAATCTGAAAATAGCGAACCTTTTACATCAGGTTCTAAAACGTTTTTTGTAGATTGGGATACAGAGTTTAAAGGGGGAGAAAAATTTCTAAAATTTTCATCACAATCTATTAGTATACAGCCAGTCGTATCAGAAAGAGGGGATGAAGTATGTATACTTGAAAGACGAGTCTTTGTGAGTAGAGTTGGACTAAAAGATGACGGTGGCGAATCCGATACTGATTTCGAGGGCAGATTAGAATTGTGGTCTCCTGTGAAGCAAGAAAATTGACTCTTTCCATCAATAATTTTCGAAACAGCACGATTATCAGTTGACATAACTTTACTGCAACGCCTACTGCAGTTATTTACAACATTAAAACTCCCGGAGTGTTTTTTTCTGTGGTACATTAAAATGGACTCTCTTCGGAGAGATGAAGATGCTTGAGAAGAAATCCATGTAGTAAGGCGAGTCGAACGCCGTGTTGGTTTAGGAAACAATACACAGGATTCAACGGATTCAAAATCCAATATAGATGAACTTGAGTCACCTTCAGAACACAGGCTATCTGATGATCCTGTGCTTACCAGTTCCTGGTTAGATTGGACAGATTTAGTCAACGATGACTCTTGTTTACAAGATGAATTAGCACTAGAATTTTTACAGTCTACAGTCAAGTTTGTTATTTTCCGCTTCTTTGTTCTTCGTACCATCTCATGGGGAGGGAATAAGTCATAACGATGTCCAGTGAGATAGTCAATGATGCGCACATCACGTAAACGGCAACGGCCACCTTGAATACAATCTAAAACATCTAAAGCACGATCAACGCCTGATGAGAAAGCACCATGAGTACATTGTTGACCACCAGAACTGTCAACGGTACCTTCACCCGCAAAAAGCAACTTCGGACAAACCTGTAGTAAAAACAAGTTGGAATCGCGTTTAAGTGGTAAGAATATTTTAAACCGTCTTACAACCTATTAATATTGCATATATGGTACAACCAGAAACATAGCCTAAATACATTGGGAAACATTACAGTTCTAGGAAGGACTATATAGACCAAATAATAACTTAAATTTAATAGTTCCTTGCAGTAAATGAGTCCCTGTAATGATAAAGATATTCTAACCCCAAATAGTATGTTTAAATGCTTATGGCGATCCACTTATAAAGCGAGATTCTCCAACAACGATAACAATTATAAAGTAATAATTTTCATATTTTAAAAATACCACTTGGAACTATGTGAGCTGTCTAGCCTTTAATGTTTACTCAGGATTTATTCTGTCTGAAGACAAACATCTCCTTAGGCGATTGATTCCTACAGCGATCTCATGCATTAAGTCACACTCTAAACATTATTGATAACAGAACATTACTAAAAATTGTGATTTTCCACTGTCGATATGTTTGTGACAGTGAATTGATTAGTCTACGTTGACATTTATGTTCTAGTCCTATAACCTCATAAAAGAAAGCACTATCTACTAGGATGCGGTTACATTAAGTGAACCGGCACCAATTAAAATGAAATATTCACCCTACTAGTCACTGGCAAATCAAGTATGTAAGCAAACATGATTAATTAGTTTAATTTAAAGGAATAATAAGATTATAACTAACTGTGGAAGGTAGGCTACTTGCATAGGCTTGCCGATCTGCGTCACTGCAGCCAACCTCACCAGCAGTATAAGCACCCAAACTAAACGGGTCTTCTGACCATCGAGTAACGTGAGTGTATATAGGTTCAGGCAATGGACACTGAGACGGGTACATTCCACCTAGTAAATCTAGTAAGGTTTTGACAACAGCTTGATCAGATCGACCAGTAATCCTGAGCTTTGAACCACCCCATACGTGAGCAACCAGAACACCTGGATTTCCATAAAAATCACAATTAAGTATATGAAGGTAAGCGCCAGGACACGTAATATGAGGTGTGTCACGATCCCAAAAAATCTCTGATGGATTAAACATTAAAATAACCTAAAAGGGAAAATGAGTTTGCAGGTATCATTACAAAGGTTTGACTTGATAATTTCAAATAAATCGAGTATTGGGTAGATTGTTATAAATAAATAATATGTTTATAATATCCCAATGAGCAGACAAATTAGATTTTCTGACATTTCGTGACTCAGTGTAAGCCATTCTTCAGAGAATAAATAACCAAAGCAAAATTAATATAAGTTTGATTCGGTTATTTATTCTCTGAAAAATCGGCTTACGCTGAGTAACGAAACTTCATAAAATCTAATTTTTCTAGTCATTGGGATATTACAAATATATTGTTTTATTTCTAAAAGGAGAAAAGCGCAATACCTATTAGTTATCATAAAGTATTTTAACAATATCTTCATTCACTAAAACAAGCACATGAAGACTACAATTCATTGTCAAATGTTTTTCTAACAAATTGAAATTATACAGGTTTCATTAAACCCATACTACATTTCCAAGGCAAATGTAAAATACAAATCAGTTTGTCACCAAAATTTAGTGGAAAAATGTATAAAAAAGAGAAATGAAGTTGTTTTTACTAGAGATTGCGTGTATGGCTCATTGAAATTTATTTATTAAATATTCATCTCCGCCTGTAGCCCCTCCGAGGGCTACTGCCAATCCCAAGTCCGGATAAAGGAGGAGGGTTGGGCATGGGGTTAGCGACCCCATCCAGTAGAAAACTAACTCGCTAAAAAACACTAACAAGAAAAATTAATTCAAACCATTTAAACTCTGCCCCTGGGCGTTGAAGGAAGAATTATAACGCCTCACGATGAAAGCCGCGTTCCTTCGGAGGTCACTAGGTCGATGCACCTTCTAACAACCAGAGCAACAATCGATATAGGTACATAAGACGTCTGGACAATGTGGGAGACTGGAAGAGTCTTCCGAAATGATACAGAAAGGAGGAAATACAACCTGGGGGTACTTGGGATCAGTGAAACATTGGACGCAGGTTGGACAACAACGACTAGCTTCAGGGGAGCTTCTGTTATACTCCGTTCATGAAGAAGAAAATACCCCACATACACAAGGAGTTGCATTGATGTTGTCCAAACAACCACAAAATGCACTTACAGGATGGGAATCTCATGAACCAAGAATCATTAAAGCCTCCTTCAAAACAAAGAAAGACGGCATTACAATGAACGTCATCCAATGCTATGGGCCTAACAACGACTACAATGAAGACGTTAAAAATCAATTCTACAATTAACTGCAGTCGATTGTAAAGAAGTGCCCAACAAAGGACCTGACCATTCTGATGGGAGATTTCAATGACAAGGTTGGAATGGACAACACTGGATACGAAGACGTCGTGGGACGACATGAACTGGGAGAAAGGAACGAAAATAGTGAGAGATTTGCAAACCTATGTGCCTTCAATAAACTGGTCATACGCGACACTATATTCCCACATAAACGCATTTACAAAGCCATATGGACTTCACCGGATCACATTACATAGAACCAAACCAACCATATCTGCATCAACAATGTTCAGGAGGGCGATGGAGGATGTGAGAACCAGGAAAGGAGCTGATATAGCATCAGATCATCACTTGCTGGTAGCCAAGATGAAATTAAAACTTAAGAAGCACTGGACAATGGAGAGGACAACATCACGAAAGTTTAATACGGCCTTTCTTCGGAATGCTGACAAATTCAACGAATTCAAGATAGCCTTCAACAATAAGTTCCAGGCCTTTCATGATCTACTCAATAGAGAGGGAACTATTATGGAGAGCAACTGGAAAGGTATCAAGGAGGCAATCGTTTCAACATGTCAGGAGGTTCTGGGCCACAAGAAGCACCATCACAAGGAATGGATCACTGCTGGTACACTGGATAAGATTGAAGAAAGGAGGAACATGAAAGTAGTAATCAATATCAGCCGAACAAAAGCAGAAAAAGCCAAGGTACAAGCCGAATACACAGCAGTAAACAAGCAAGTGAAGAGTAGCATCAGAACCAACAAACTTAAATATGTGGAAGATTTAGCAATGACGGTGGAAAAGGCTGAAAGAGAAGGAGACATGAGACAATTGTATGATACAACAAAGAAACTCTCTGTAAATTACTGTAATTAACCAGAACGACCAGTGAAAAGCAAGGAAGGCAAGGCAATCACCAACATTTAAGAACAACGGAACAGGTCAGTAGAACACTTCAAGGAACTCTTGAATCGACCAGCCCCATTGAATCCAACCAACATTGAAGCAGCACCCATTAACCTCCCAATCGATGTTGGCCCACCAACAATTGAAGAGATCAGCATGACCATCAGACAATTCAAGAGTTGCAAACCAGCAGAACCAGACAACATTCCAACAGAGGCAGTGAAAGCAGATAAAGTAGTAACTGCAAAGATACTCCACATTCTCTTTAACAAGATTTGGAATGAAGAACAAGTACCAACAGACTGGAAAGAAGGCTTCTGATCAAAATACCAAAGAAAGGCGATCTCAGTAAGTGTGACAACTACAGGGGCACCACTCTTCTCTCAATACCAAGAAGTCTTCAACAGGGTACTGTTAAACAGAATAAAAGACTTGGTAGACACCCAAGTTCGAGATCAACAGGGTGGATTCCGTAAGGATCGATCGTGTACAGACCAAATCGCAACTCTGCGGATCATTGTGGAACAATCAGCTGAATGGAATTCATCACTCTACATCAACTTCATTGACTACGAGAAAGCATTTGATAGCGTGGACAGGGCAACACTATGGAGGCTTCTTCGGCACTACGGCGTACCTGAGAAGATAGTCAATATCATGCAGAATTCCTATGATGAATTAAACTGCAAAGAAGTGCATGGACGACAAATCACTGACTCGTTCGAGGTGAAGATCGATGTCAGACAAGGTCGCTTACTCTTACCCTTTCTCTTTCTTCTGGTGATCGACTGGATCATGAAGGCGTCAACAACCGGGGGGAATCACGGAATACAATGGACAGCTAGGATACAGCTGGACTATTTAAACTTCGCAGATGATCTGGCTCTTCTATCACACACACAACAACAAATGCAGGAGACGACCAGTGTAACAGCAGCAGTAGGTCTCAATATACACAAAGGGAAAAGCAAGACTCTCCGATACAATACAGCATGCACCAATCGAATTACACTTGACGGAGAAGCTTTTGAGGATGTGAAAACCTTTACATATCTGGGCAGCATCATTGATGAACACGGTGGATCTGATGAAGGTGTGAAGACGTGGATCGGCAGAGCGAGAGCCGTATATTTACAACTGAAGAACATCTGGAACTCAAAACAATTGTCAACCAACACCAAGATCAGAATTTCCAATACAAATGTCAAGACGGTCCTACTGTATGGTGCGGAGACGTGGAGAACTGCGAAAGCCATCATCCAGAAGATACAGGTGTTTATTAACAGTTGTCTACGCAAAATGCTTCGGATCCGTTGGCCAGACACTATCAGCAACAAGCTGCTGTGGGAGACAACAAACCAGATTCCAATCAGCGGAAGAAGAAATTAGGAAGAAGCTCTGGAAGTGAATAAGACACACATTGAAGAAAGCACCCAACTGCGTCACAAGACAAGCCCTCACATGGAATCCTGAAGGCCAAAGGAAAAGAAGACCAGAGAACACATTACTCCGAGAAATGGAGACAGATATGAGAAGAATGAACAAAAGTTGGATAGAACCAGAAAGGAGGGTCCAGGATAGAGTGAGTCGGAGAATGCTGGTCGGCGGCCTATGCTCCATTGGGAGTGACAAGCTTAAGTAATATCAGCTTTGTTAGTTACCATAATAATTTTGTTTTTAGAATACAATCAATTTACTGATTATAAAAAACCCTAATCCTGAAGTTCATATCTTCTGCTGTTTTTTTCCAAAAAACTAAACAGTGAAATTATTTTAAAATGTAAAAATTATGTACAAACTACTTGATAACCGCACAAAGCCATGCAAGAAATTTATACATCTTTTCAAGTATAAAGTCACTACCTGAATAGTAGCTGAAAAATGTGTGTAGCCGTTTTATTATTTTGGCCCAGTTTATCCGAGAATTCTTAAACGTACATTTTTAATAACGTTGTACATATTTTATAGCATAAAACTTGCATCATGATGTGAATGTTATTTTCCATTGAATGAGCACATGAGTATCAAACGTTCAAAGTAAGGAAATTCCTGTGAAACTGAACAAGTGTTTCAAGATACTTCAACAGTATTCACTATTCACTAATCATAATCACACATTTTTATGCCCCCAATGCCCTGGTACGGTCGGGAGTGGGGAGGGCCCACCCTCTCTCTAGAAATGCTCTCACATGACCACGCGAATATATAGCCTCTGACAGGGAAGTCTTACTCACTGCCTTCTCGTGGCATTACTGTTGTTTACGAAATTGAGAGGACGAAAAGCGAATGTCCGGCGCTTTAATCGGGTTGGTGGACAAGGCGAGTCCACCTACGGGAGTTGGAAAACACTGATTCCGAACCAATGGTGCACATGGGCTCCAGTATCTTGAGGGAACAAATGGCGTATGAATCAATCGCTGGTCACCGGCTACCATGGGACTGCATCTCCTCACGATGCTCCACTGCCTTGTGGATCAGATCTTTAGGTCAAATTAAATTTTACACTTAACATTTAGACCATTAATGAAATGGTATCAAGTGTTGTAATTTCAGAATGGAAATCACCAGGCAATTTTGATTTTGAAGTGTTAACTTAGTGATGAATAGTGACTTTTAATCCTACCTGAGTACTGCTCTACATAATACAAGATTTCTCAAAATTACACAAAAATGAAAACATACTGTTTATTTCGACGCCACTAACTAAATACAGTAATATATTTCCAAAGAGAATTTCTAACGAAAAGTTACGGTCATTTGAAGTGAACAAAGTATACTGGACCGTTTCCTTTCTAGCATGAGTCCGCTTATTTATAATACTGTTAGAGCCACCAATATGTATATATATATATATATATATATATATATATATATATAAACAGCTAAAGCACTCAGCTTTTAACCAACAGGTTAAAAGTTCAAAACACGTCCCACTTAATTCAGTCATAGCAGCAGGAAATGAGTACTATCATTAGTCGTCACACAAATAACGTGGTTCAAAACCAAGTACATGAACATGTATTTGGCAAGTTACACTATATTGTAAGGTTTACAAAGAACATTTTATCATGAGGTTTTCAGCCAACAGTTTATTCTACATTGACTGACGTTTTAAATAACCTACGACCTTTCAGTTAAGATATTTTATCCATACTATGATTATATTTGTAAAACAAATCATGCTGTCAAGTTAAACAACCTAAATTATCTAATAAACACCATATAATTACTAACAGATACGAAATCTTAGTAGAGTATTAATATTACATAGACTACGAAAAAATCCACGGCCGAAATAATTCAAAAGAGATGATCAAGTAGTCTTGCTATACTGAAAACAACACTAGCCATGGTCAGTGATGAAATATGATTAATCGGCATAAGTTACAAACTGCACAAGAATTGATAGTTAGTTTACCTTATTATGAGTTTCTGCTCCCAGCTTTGGAATACCAAGACGATCTATCGCAAGTCTTTTCCTTGAGGGCAAACATGGATGAAAGTGGATGGCACTACGACGATCGAGGCCTTTGAGTACACCAACAGGGACTGTTATGATGCAGAATCGTGCAAAATAACGCCTAGAAGATTGTCTGTCGAAAACCAACATAGATGATTCCCCTGAGTACTGAGCCACATCAACACATACTAGATTAGAAGACTCAACAAAATCCATAAGAGTTTTAGTAGACCATGAGGCAGCATTGTCATGAATTAATTGGATATTAATTTCTTCATCAGATTTACCAAAGTCTGTGTGATTTGACCAATACACATGTCGTGCAACACATCGGTAATGAATGTCTACACCAGACGCTAAAAATTCGACAAACTTTGAGAATCCGTCTAGAACTAAACGATCCTCCCATTTGTGATCGGTTCGACGAGCAATGCTCTTACAGGAGCCATTTAAACTTAAATAAGTTTTTTTTTCTCGCAACCAATCTAAATAGATTTTTTTGGACACAGAGGTTGGTTGTTCAACATTTAGAGCCAAACCTGCCATAGCATCAGCTTCGAAATGAGGTCCCAAAGAAAGTTTAGGAGAGAGTCTATGAGCCGGATTTACATACGCTATGTATCGAGCGAATAGTGAATCAAAAATGCCTTTTTCTCTTCGAGAAAGAGTTGGAGAAGTTCGATAACCTGCCTTGTATAGCAAATGAAGACATGATTCCAGAGCACTGTAAGCATTAAAACATAAAAAATGAAAGAAAACCAACACATAACCATGTGAATAAATGCATTGATTTAAATGATCACTGAAATAAATTTCTACCAGAGTAGTAGGGTTATAAGGTGGCTTATAACGAATACATAGTCTTCAACTAAGTTAGTAGAGCAAGAGTACATATATTATTATGTCTTATGAATTTTAGAGTTGCAGGATAAATTATTTATGAAATCATGATATGAAGTTGAATAAGGAATCTAACGACTTGAGTAATACTCCAGCACCTGGTGTAATATATCTCCTGAAACACCTACACAAGCCAATACTATAAACGTAAATAAGAATCTTTAGGAGAGCAGCCTATAAAGAGGTGATCATAATATAATTTAATATAGACTTTGGTGAAATAAACTAAAGTGAAGACTACTAAAAACTACTTATACTGATGTACAGTTGATTACTATTCTGTATATATATATATATATATATATATATATATATATATATATAGAGAGAGAGAGAGAGAGAGAGGAAAAATTATATTCCATGTGAAATGAGTGAAAACTTGCACACGGCACATACCTTGGTAACGCAGTAGCCAAAGTTTTACTTGATCGATTTTCTTGTTTCTTCTGATTCGCTGCCATAAGAATATACAGTAAGCATCTGTCAAGTAGAAAACTAATGTCAGCCACCTCTTCCAAGCCAATTTCCTTTCCCGATTTATTATCTCGCCAAACAGCTACCTCTGGACATTCCCAGCCCCGATGCGTACCTAAAACATCCCCAGCGGCGGGAGAAGTAGCAATTTTTAAACGACTAGCCAGAGTAAACAAAGGTTGGACATCCTGCGAATTGTTGCATCCATGAAGGTAGCTAGCCCCCAGGTCGACGACAGACTTATCATGTATTTTGCCAGTAACAGAAGGAAGATCAACTGTATGAATCCTGCCACCACTTCTTGATCGTGCTTCTAAAACAATGGTTTTAAGTCCCTCATTAGTTAGTAGTTTGGCTGCAGCAAGTCCAGAAATACCAGCACCCAAAATGAGCACATCACAAAATATGGCCTCTGACATTATAAGTAGCTTCAACAAGGATCGAGCTGGAAAAAAATAGCAAATAAGAATAATTATGAGGTAAGGCATACGTTTGATAAGTACAGTAGTCCATTACAGTAACAAGAAAAGCTTTCGATCACAATGACGTAGGTGATATTTATTAGATGAGGGTCGGTAGTATAATATCAATCTTGAGAATGTCCTGTGTCGTATTAAGCGTCGCCAACAACACTTAACGATTCTGTCCAAATAGTGTGTGACTGCTTTTGATGGGGGGGACTATAGTTTATGGATGAACCAGTTAGATATAAGATAACGGGTCTTGGATTTTAATGCGAAATTCATTCATCCACTTGGTTAAATAGTGCTTTAGCATTTTAGCTTTTGTCAGCTGATGTTGGAAACCCAAAACCTAGTTTCTAATCCTAACCATCAACTGTAAATCATAATTCCAATTCCTCACGCTGGTTTATAATCCCCATTAAGTTCTAGTTAGTATGCAGACGCTATCAAAGTTACTCTAGCATTGCCCACAAATGCCCTGGTACGGCCGAGAGTGGGAAGAGTCACCTCTCCCTCTCGAAATGCTCTCACATGACCACGCGAATATATAGCCTCTGACAGGGAAGTCCTACTCACTGCCTTCTCGTGGCATTACTGTTGTTTACGAAATTGAGAGGACGAAAAGCGAATGTCCGGCGCTTTAATCGGGTTGGTGGACAAGGCGAGTTCACCTACGGGAGTTGGAAAACACTGATTCCGAACCAATGGTGCACATGGGCTCCAGTATCTTGAGGGAACAAATGGCGTATGAATCAATCGCTGGTCACCGGCTACCATGGGACTGTATCTCCTCACGATGCTCCACTGCCTTGTGGACTAGACCTTCAGGTCAAGGGCTCAGGGTGTGGCCCCCTAAGAAAACCACCTGCTTCAGTCTGGGCACCTGGGCAGTATCACAGCCCTCAAGCAAATCGAATGAGATTTGTATGGCGCATATGTATCTGGTGCTTCCTTGTACCAATATTTATGTGTTTAAATAAATAAATAATAATTAGCATCGCTCAAAGATTGGTCATAAATTATAGTCTCACCGAGATTATTTGGAAGCTGATTTTGATTTCGAAGCCGAAAAAGACCTTGCAAAACTGTATGATATCGCGACGCAAGGTTATCTTCACGATATGAGGGACAAGGTACAAAAGCATAATCGAAGGAAGGAAGAACACGCATGTATAAAATTGAAAGCAATTAATATTATCTACTGATCTACAGGTACAGTCTTCAGTGTTAACGAATATAACCGTAAGTTTAGCTTCAAGTAGCTAGTTGTGCAAAAACAATTCACTCAGATATAGTAAGCTTTTTTCTTTGCATTTTATAATTCACAAGATTATTTTAATTCTCGGTAGTCGAACAGGTGTTAGGAAAAGAAATAATTCGTGGAATGCTTTTCCTGTTCAACTTGTTTCCAATAAAGCTTTTTTTAAACATGTGCTTACTTATTTATTTGGGAAAGTGTGCTTGATTTTAAATGCATTTGCAATTAAGTACATTACCTTATTAATAAAACATCACCTGCTCTTTCTTATGTAGCTCTTTTTAAATGACACTGGCACCTGACAATTGCAATTAAAATATAACGATTGATACTCTAACATCTTTCAACCACTCATAACATTATAAAGCAATACGATTTTCGTTTTCAATAAATTTTCCAGAACACATCTCATATTTTATGTACATTTCACTTTTTGTGTGGTGTGTTGTGGTAATGAAGGCGAACACAGATGTTCGGGTTAATGACAAAGGTGTTTTGAGAGTGGATGCAAAATTACATAAATCGGTGTATATAGACTAAAGGTAGACGATGTTGCGTATACTTGGGCGAAAAGTAGACAATACGTTTATATCTAGGCGAAAAATAGACAATTCCGCGCATATTTAGAAAAAAGTGGACAGTAGAGAGATGTTTGAAACGCAGAGCGACATTAAGGTGAAAATCAGCATTATTTTCCCCGGACACACAAAAAAAGCAGACATTTCGGCGCATTTCCCGCATATTTTCCAAAGCATTTTCCCTTTTATTTTCCCCCTATATTGGTTGTTTGAGTCAATTGAAATGTTACGGTTAACTTCAACCTAGGTGAGACTACTGAAAGATTTGAGAGCCTGCTTTGAAAAACTTCGTGACATTTTAACGATTTTCCTAAATACCAATAATTTCTAGCTAAGTGGTGAGAAAGCCATGTCTTTCAAATCCACTTTTAAGCATATAAAACAATCTTGGAACAGGAAGCAGTTTTTCTAGGCTGGAATTTTAGCCTGTTATTGTTTAAAAACCAAGAGCTAAACAACAATGACATCAAACAACAGATGTTATAAGATTAGAGAACCAAATATACTCGGAGTCAAGTACGCCAAGAACTAAAGTTTCCGCTCATAACATTTACTATTCAATATTATCATGAAGACTTTTCGAGGGGTTTGTTTGTAGCCTTGAGGTTTATTATGTGCTGTTGCAGTTTAAAGAGGCCATTCACTAATGTAGAAATATAACCGATGTTCACGACTGGCACCTTACATTTTCCTGTTCCGTTTGGTTTGTAGTTTTGTTGCAGTTGTTACTGTTTCAACTGCCGTAAAAACGCTTGTTTACACCATTTTTACACTGTTTATGTTGCTTCATCCAAGAAAGTAAGTTTTCAGGAAAAAATAACCCACGAAAGTGTAGCGACAAATAAATTCCGAAAATCAATATCTCTGTAAGTGTTCGACATTGTATGCTGACAACATTAGTGGGCTAACTGCGCTCAATCAGGCATCCGCACCATATCACGAGTTGGAACGGGGCGCCGACCAGTATTCTCCTAGCCACTCTATCCTGAACCTTCATTTATGGTTCTATCCAACATATGTTCATTCTTCTCATGTATGTCTCCATTTCTCGGAGTAATGTGTACTTTGGTCTTCTTCTTTTCCTTTTGAGGATACCACCAGTATTGTAGTTTGACAACTATCAACCAGTAACACCTATAATCGAATCGTGCCCCACTCAGTCAAAATCAGAAGTCAGAAGCAAAGAGGTTGTATGGATATATTCGATGCGTTATCAATATATCAAGAAGCGATTGATCTAATCTGGCCAATGATCATAGGAGATGTTTCCCACGCTGTGCTGTAACGTGATCTGGTGCGGTTGCATGACCGAACGCCTTCAGCTAAACAAGCCCACTTAAAACAATGTGGTCAGCATCCAATGTCGAACACTTACAAAGTTATTGATTTTGGGGAATTATTTACAGCTACACTAGTAATACTACATTATTGCAATGTAAAGCGCTACACCAACTGAGCATCCCATTAGTTTTAGTAAAATGTACTTGTTGAATATCCCAGCAGCCCAACTGTACTGGAGGTCTATTTAATAATACTAGTCTGTACCCGTTAGGAGGAACTGTTCACCTTCATTTTAGGAGTCTGTTACGCCCGTTACCAGACTCCACTATCTTCCAGTAGTTTATTTGAATCCGCCATATTCTCCCCTTATTTCCATAACTAATGTAGATATGCCAGGTGAAAATCATAAATATAACCTGTGAAAGATACGACTACTCAACATCTGGTCGTAGACTGTTCCGTAAGTTTGGTATAATGGTTTTCTGTTGAGATATAATTCGGTACATGTTTTTAAATTATTATGTATATTTACTGAGTTAGTGAGCTCTATGTGACTGGATAATACCATTTTAATGGTTTTTTACTAATAGATATCACCAGTATCAACAAAGATGTCTTCCTTTTACCGTAACTACCCAAGATAACAGTTGTAGTCATTTTCCTCTGGTCATCAATCGTTCGATGTAAAAGTCAGTCGGTTCGGTGAGAAAAAAGTTTATTGCCTAATTGTCTTAAATGGAACAAACCCTTACTTTTTCATTGTAGGACGATGGTGAGTTGATGTTGCTGTATACATTGGAGTTCTTATTGTCATAATAAGTTGATTCATCATCTCAAAGGTTGTGTTTGTTTTTGACTGCGAGCAATCATGTTAATACTGTATTGAGAGTTGGTTTCAGCAATGAACCTTGCTACATTTATTTCAGGCATTGTCCTAGTTCACTTTTTCCATTTATCAGCCGTTTCCATGACTACTCCTTAGTTCTCGAAAGCTATCAATTTTGTGAACTTGCGCTACTATTACTATTACACTAAGACAGCTACTATCGTCAAGGTCTTTCAGTTGTGTAGAACGGTAACCAACTAATTTGGTTGTTCCTTAGTGCTCTCAGTTTAGCGGATAGTCTACAATGCTTTAAAGGTAACAGTCCAGCGGGTAAAGTAGATAAATCGTCAAGATATGGTCTCAAAAGTCCCCGGATGATGCGAGGCTAATCTAGTTAAGTTTATTCCATCAACCGCATCTCAAGTTATTTGTTGAATATAATTTACAAGTCACTTGAAGACACTGTTTGTCTTTTTTCTTTCGCGAAACAACAGTACTTTAAGTTATATCCGTGATTACTGCGAACCGACTGACTTTTACATCGAACGGTTGATGACCAGAGAAAAATGACTACAACTGTTATCTTGGGTAGTTACGGTAAAAGGAAGACATCTTTGTTGATACTGGTGATATCTATTAGTAAAAAACCATTAAAATGGTATTATCCAGTCACATAGAGCTCACTAACTCAGTAAATATACATAATAATTTAAAAACATGTACCGAATTATATCTCAACAGAAAACCATTATACCAAACTTACGGAACAGTCTACGACCAGATGTTGAGTAGTCGTATCTTTCACAGGTTATATTTATGATTTTCACCTGGCATATCTACATTAGTTATGGAAATAAGGGGAGAATATGGCGGATTCAAATAAACTACTGGAAGATAGTGGAGTCTGGTAACGGGCGTAACAGACTCCTAAAATGAAGGTGAACAGTTCCTCCTAACGGGTACAGACTAGTATTATTAAATAGACCTCCAGTACAGTTGGGCTGCTGGGATATTCAACAAGTACATTTTACTAAAACTAATGGGATGCTCAGTTGGTGTAGCGCTTTACATTGCAATAATGTAGTATTACTAGTGTAGCTGTAAATAATTCCCCAAAATCAATAACTTTGTAAGTGTTCGACATTGGATGCTGACCACATTGTTTTAAGTGGGCTTGTTTAGCTGAAGGCGTTCGGTCATGCAACCGCACCAGATCACGTTACAGCACAGCGTGGGAAACATCTCCTATGATCATTGGCCAGATTAGATCAATCGCTTCTTGATATATTGATAACGCATCGAATATATCCATACAACCTCTTTGCTTCTGACTTCTGATTTTGACTGAGTGGGGCACGATTCGATTATAGGTGTTACTGGTTGATAGTTGTCAAACTACATTACTGATGGTATCTTCACTATATTCACTATAGTGAATCAACCACTTTATTATGACATTGTACACATTGATTTTTAAACTTGAACATATGATATGTGATTTTTTTCGTATAGTGACGAATATTGCCTAATGGTTTCCTTTCCTAATATTTAGCAGCCTAATTCAACGAACTTATGGAAAATAATATGGATAATCATACGACGTGTAATGCGAAACCAAGTTTTATCTATAAATAAAGTTGCCGACCAAATCTTTAGAACTTTTACATTGCAATTCTGTGTTTAATAAACTGTCACAATAAGTTTGTACATCATAATCTATAGGAACAGGTTTACACTCACTTTTTAATTAGACTACGTTAAAACCACACACGTGGGAATCAATCTCATTACTACTTGAGGATATGAGAACAAAGTATAGGATAAATAAATATAATATGAAAATGAAGACGAGACAGACATCAATGGTAGATGGTATGACTGAACAATCTGAAAAATATCGCAAAGCCATTTCAATAAACGAATACAAGTATCTATGAAATAAAGTAATTAAAAGACTATATTGAACTGCTCGAACAGCTACGAACAATACTGCCCATACATAGTGTTGTTTAAATTCGATGGTAAGGATTCTAATGAAATATGAGTATATTGTGTATAGAAAATGGACATTCGAAATGGTTATTTTAAGGGAATAAATCTTTTCATATCCTAATTTTGAGCTACACCTTAAACTGTTTCTTTCTCGTAATGTAATCCGAATCACATGATCCGTCGATACCACAGCTTAATCCAGTGGGTAAGCTCAGAAACCCCATTACATTAAAACTCGAAGTGAATGTTTTCTTGAAAGTACATGCCTTCATTCTGGCTGTAAAATAATGTTAAGTATCTTGTTCATAAGTATATGCGTTATTTATCCCTCTACCCCGTAGTTACACTGGGGCGATTTCGGATACTACTACGATTCACTTTTGTCAATGCACATGAAATCCTACTCTGTCTTAGTCGAGCTTGGTTATCCATATCTATAAAACTTCACTGCTGTCTTAACTAGCCGTCAGCTCTAACTCTCTTGTTCTTTATACTTATTATCACTAATCTAATTCCTCATCTTCAATCATCAGTGCAACTCATCTCTTATACGTGAAGCTTGTTATTACAATTATTTTTGTGGGTTACCCCCAGTCAAGTTTAAGAATATAATTGATCAATACTTCAAACACACCCAATAAATACCCCGATCGTTACGACAAATGACCAAAATTACACTCTGTAACCTAGACGTTACACACCGCATCATGACTAGAGGACCACATGTATTCTAGAAGACACGCTGACTAGCTCTTGAGAAGCTAAAATTGGCCAAAAACGAATTTGGGCACATGATAGACTTGTAGATTATCCGCCAATCGACCATGAGCATCTCCTTTGTACATGGTCCGTAAAAAACAGCAACGATCGGCGCCCAACTGGTGATTGTGGCCGACTTTATGCCAAAATCACTCCCGATCGTTACCTCATACCACGCATTCACGATTTGACAGCTACCTTTGGAGGTATAACTGTATGCTGGAAAATCGATCAGGTTAAAACGTACAACTCCTAAAACGACTACTGGAACCGAATTCCTTGGTATTCTCGGACACCTTATTGATGCTCAAGGTATCCTCCTGAGGATGCAAACGGATGTTCTAGTTTTACAACTAGCTACCAGTAGCACCTTCTATATTCGATCGTTCCCAGTCAGATAGAAATCAGAAGTCAGACGAGAAGAGGCAGGAAAGATGTATTTGATTCGTTACCAATATATCGAGGACCTTTTCTATGAGCTGGCTAATGAAACGTAGGAGCTGTGTCCCACGCCGTGTTGAAACGTGATCTGTACGGATGCATGACCGAAAGCCTTCAGCTAAACAAGTCCACTTAAACAACGTGGTCAGCATCCAATGTCGAACACTTAATGAGCTATTGATTTTGGGGAATTATTTACAGCTACACTCCCTTGAAAAACAAAATGACAGGCATTCTGGATTGCCCAGAACCGACCACAGTCAAGCAATTACATACGTTCAACGGCATGACAAGTTTTCATTGACGGTTCATAATGAATTGTGCGTCTCTCGTGAGACCTTTAACAGACCAACTCCGTGGAAATACGAAACTCACTAAGTTGGACGACAAATTGAAAGACAGATTCTCGACATTTAAGGAATTTATCGCAACAGCAACCATGCTCACACACCAGGGAATCCAAACACCTCTTGTTATCTTTGTAGACGCATCGGACTCGGCAACCCGAGGAGTCTTACACCGGTGGATAAACAACACCTTTCAGCCCCTGACATCCTTCTCGAGACGGTTGCTGCACACTGAATCAAGGCATTGTACTTCCAGGAGAGAACTACTAGCCATTTATTGTGCCGTACAGTACTTTCAACACTCCTCTGAATACCGGAATTCACTCCTTTCACTGACCACAAACCTCTAAATTTCTCTTTAAGCTCGTCTTCAGGCAAGTACTCCCCTTGAGAGTCTCGACAACTGGATTACATCTCTGTTTACTTCAGACATTCAGCATGTTTTGGGGCAGACGATGTAGTTGCAGACACCTTGTCTAGAGTAACTCCTTTGAACAGTTTCCAAGGGTTCGACCTTCCTAAACTCACTCAGCTTCGGGAAGAAGACACTGATCTTCAGCACGAGTTATCCTCAACAACCCTGAAACTGTATACTATACAGATGGGGATAGTTAAGGGAACTTTATTATGCGACACATCTACAGGTAGGGATGGCCCAATCGTGCCGAAACGTTATCGGCGCAACGTCATCGATACGTTGCATAAACTTTATCACCCAGGTGTCTGGGCAAGCATAATGCTCAAACCAGAACGGTTTTGCTGGTCTGGTATGAGGAAGTGGACTCGCTTCTTTGTAAGCTACCAGAAATCTAGTGATTGGACTCAAAAAATTTTCCTGTGCCCTTTCAAAGCTCCCGACACTCGGTTCGGTAGGACCCTTAACAGACTAAAATGTATTCTCTTAACGCTTAACGTGTGCAGACCGTTTCACAAGATGGTCAGAAGCAGTACTGATCAAGGACATTACTGCCGAAACAGCGACTCATGCCTTCTTCGAACGATGGTTATCAAGGTTCGGTTGCCCTTCAACTGCCACTACAGTCTGTGGACGCTAATACGGATCTGGACTTTTCTGCTACCTTAATGAACTACTAGGAATCACACAATTCCGGACGCTCACCTGCCACCCACAAGCATCTTCTGTACAAATGTCTAGTAACGAAAAATAATTGACATCTATGAACTCAAGCAAGGTTTCTGTTGCTTCTCACCGTTATGATCAATGTTTTGTAGTACAACGGCCGTGATCAGCCATGAAAGAATCATGGATACACTGGCCAGAGGGACTGAATACTTCCGAACCTTCAAAGTTGTCAATTTCAGCCAAGCAACAACAGTAGTTGTGGAGATCTAAAAGAGTTGTAGGGCAAAACGCTAAAGGTTAAGGCCTGTTTAAAATGAGTAGTATGGAAGAATTTAAAATTTAGAAATTATCTAACCACTCAGGAAAGCTACGATTTGTCATGTGCAACTCTTAAAAGACATCTACTAATGAGGTTATCTAAAACTCACAAACCAGAATATTCACTCTTTTATCAATCCGCCCTAATGTGCAACAATAACCTCTGACAATTACTGTGAATAACCCGACGAATGTGGAGTCTTTTTTGTAGTCTCTTTCCGAACAATTTTGTATGACTAGTGGAGGCTAAATAGTAAATGAGTTGATGATAAAAAAAATTACAGTTGTTTCAGAACATAAATAAAGTAGTTCTGTAGAACAACTTTAAATAGGTTAGTTTTACTAATTCAACAGAGAGCTTTTTCATTTCCCGCGACTACAGGTACCTGTTTATACAACAGTACTAAAATTCACTACATGTGACGTTACTAATGTGAGTTTGTTTTTCTTATTGCAAGGGGAAGTATCTATGGAAAAACGCGATGAAAACTACCATAAACCACCGGTTATTCCAAGCAAGTCGGCAACCGGTGCAGCAACCCGTCAACCACTACTACTGGGAGTTTCATCAAACTAAGCTATTTGGAAAATCAGAATAATGACGTATCTACATAGAGTTCCAGCTGCAGAACACTTCGACTACCTCCTATCATGCTTTGATGACGAAGCAGCAAAAAGGATGACGGTCGACGGAAATTGAAAAATTCTAGGCGAAAGTTTTTCGTTAGCGGTGGACACTGAGCTGGGGACCATCCAGTTTTTATCACGTCGTAATGCACCTGGCAAAAGCTCTTCCACAAATCGTGAACGTATTAGTTCTTGGGCCGAGACGTCTAGGTTAGGGAAGGCTTGAATTGCTGTTTGCTGCAAAGAGCGGATGTAATCAATGGGCTCTTCACTCGCCTTCTAGTGACGTGATAAAAACTGGATGGTCCCCAGCTCAGTGTCCACCGCTAACGAAAAACTTTCGCCTAGAATTTTTCAATTTCCGTCGACCGTCATCCTTTTTGCTGCTTCGTCATCAAAGCATGATAGGAGGTAGTCGAAGTGTTCTGCAGCTGGAACTCTATGTAGATACGTCATTATTCTGATTTTCCAAATAGCTTAGTTTGATGAAACTCCCAGTAGTAGTGGTTGACGGGTTGCTGCACCGGTTGCCGACTTGCTTGGAATAACCGGTGGTTTATGGTAGTTTTCATCGCGTTTTTCCATAGATACTTCCCCTTGCAATAAGAAAAACAAACTCACATTAGTAACGTCACATGTAGTGACTTTTAATATCCTTCCGTTTATTGTTAGCTATCTATGTTTTCTTTTGACTCGTTATTTTTAATAAGTTACTTGTATGCCTACCTGGAGTAGACTGTTATTATTTATCGCATTTCACAATACCTTTACCCTATTAGTTTTCCTCAGTGCATAGTTCTATATCATAGCGGATGCCAAATACAACTAACAGCTGTAAACAATCTCGATGTTAATTTTGGGGAAGATAAAAGGGTTACTTTCGATGCACTCCCCCTCAATAAGGGAATTACTCTATTTTTACCCCAGGATGGGAAAAACGACGTTTTGGTGCATTGTCACACATATTCACACTGACTTCTCGTGAGTATTTTCCCGAAATTTCCCTAAAGTTAGCCTTTATTTCCCCATTTTTGTTTCCCTGGGAGGTGTTTACGTAATTCCTACCTGCAGTACATCATAATTGTAACCTTTCGTGGTTTCTTCTATACCTCGTCAGACAGGTTCATCAGAAAGGATATACTCAGTACCTTAATATTTTGCATGTGCAAAGTGATATTCTTTTTTTAACTGGTGCTCTCTGTGAATCGCTGTTTTTGGTTTATAAGTGTTTACTATCATTTCTTCCATATAATCGGGCATTAGCCATGATGTCACTCTAAATTCCTACAAATTATTCCGGTTGTATGTTCAATGTATAGTGTATAATGTCCTCATTATCGCGATCGTGATAAAAAACTTCAATGTTCTGACCGAATACATTTCTTATGTAACAACAAATATTTACGCAAATACCTTATCAGTTCCGAAGCTCATTTTATCAGTGACCCGATACATAAAACTCGATTCAGCTGTCTCATTTGTAGTTCAGACCCACCTTATTCATTTCAATTTACTTGGTAGCGAAGTAAATAAACCTGATTGTGGTTGCTGAGTTACATCAATTTGATTAAAAGAAATTAAACGTAGTTTGACTTTATTGACTGACTAGACAAGTAGTTAGAGATTAGTTAACTTGCTGCTGACTAAAATCCACTTGTTTCATTTGAGTCAACTTTAAAAAATGGGCTCGAGCAAAATTTCTCTCACTCCATGTGCTTTAACCTCCATAATCTTTTATATTGAGAAGTTACGTTTTGGTGAATGAGGGTAGTTTGGCTTATCTTCCTTTTTCGTGTTTAAAATGACCCTGTAAGTCAGGCGAATGAAAATATTTCATGTTTTGGGTCTTAAATGTCTAAATAATCATATGCGTACCGAATGGATTTGGTGTAGTAAATATATAAACTAGGTGTCAACGAATGTTTCTAGCTTTTTACAGTGAAAGGTATTAATCAGTTTATTCTTGTACTTTTGAGGGAAATATTAGACATTGATAATGTTTGTTGTGTCTATTGTTGGACTAAACAACTAATCTGCTTTGTTAACTCATTCTTATCAACAAGGATGCTTCATCTTAATTGTACATAGAACCACAATGCGTCATATATTACCAAATAGCTGAACTATGTGGCATCATTATTCTGTGATATTTTGATGGGTTGCATTTCTGCGAATGTCAAACTTCAGCGGCTTTTTCTAATTGTTCATGCCAAGTAACTTTTAGATTGGAAGTCATTTACCATAATTTCATATTCTAGTTCTCAACTCTATCGTTGGCTTAATAGGTCAAATCACTGTTGAATATTGTCTTTATCCACCAATTATCATGTGTAAGTTAGAGTCTAACATAGAAGTCAGTCATAACGTAGAACTTCGTACGTACGTACATCAGTTCGAGTTGCCATACCACATTAGCACAGAGATGAAGTTGTCGATTCGAATCCCATAGTGATAGAAGTAGTAAGAGTATAAGCATTATGTGGAAGATTGGGCCTTCGGGGCCTAAAATTTCTGAGAAGCTTCTGTCACTCCTGTTTCTTTATGGTTGGGAAAAACCCTTTCTGAATTTTGATATTCTTAAAATCGATCTGGAAATTTTGGAGATTCGTATCTTTTTTCCAGTTCTGCTGGATTACCATGTCTTTCTGTGTAGCTTAGGTATTTCTTTGGCACAAGTTAAGATTCCAAGAGATGACTTTTCAATATGAAAAGCGTCACAATCGATACAATTTTGTCGACACTAAAAGGATCTTTTCCTTTATTTTAACTAAGGCCCAATTTTCCCATTGAAAGATTACAAATATATTATTTTATTATCATAAGAATAACCAACCATAGATATAACCAGTATGTGACGATTGACATGCTTTTAAATTTTTCAAAAACATCAAATGTTTAGAAACTTCAGTGTACGAACTAAATGTTTGTCTTCATTTAGGTCACATACTTTTTGTACAAGGTACTTTTGGTTGACAAGTAGTGGTTCAAAGACTAGAATGTGGCTATTGCATTATGTATACTAATGCGCCAAAATATCAGTAGGATCTGATTTTAGAGAACTTAAGTAAACGGTATGAAAAACATCCACCACAAAATATGCTTGTACTGAGTTGTATGAATTCGGTTGTTCGCACTGTTTTTTTCAAAATAACGACTACTAAATATACTGCGTTAATATGTGAAACTTTTACTTTTGCCCAGACATGGATGAACACAAATTCTTTACCAGATCTTGACAACTTTGAGCAAGATAAAGCCCTGGCTTTCGCATATTGAGACGGCACAATGCGCATGGTCGTGTTGATCTGGTCGCCAGGCTAAGCTATGTGCATTACAGGAGATCATGATACTCCTTTTATTTCTCCGTGTCACTTTTTACTCGATCGAAAAAAATCACACTTATTTAATTCTACTAACAATTTGTCTTCAAATAATTTCAAACAACAAAAACCTATACACAACAGTGCCTTATTTCCAAGTATTTGCTCATCAGCTAAATTTATTACAACTGAACGTTCGGGAATTCTGATAATCCTGTTTATATTGTTGGGTGATATACTTTGTACAACAGCCAGGTTCACACATTTATCTGAAAAATTCCAAACAGTAGCTGAAGACAAGAATAGTGAGCTTGTATTCCTGAATTCTCCTGCTTCATCCTCAGTATTCAAACCAGCAAGATTTACTCGACGAACAAGCAAACCATCTGGCAAAGTAGATGCTCGTAAGACTGATATGAAAACGTACTTGAACAAAGCTCGAAGACATTTATCATTTGACGGACAAATGGAAATAAAGTTTTTGAGTTCTGAACTTGTTGAATTTATTTGCCACCGACTTCCTGATCCATGTGCTCGCGCTGCTTATCTTCGTCAGCATGTCAGACACGATTTGTGTTTTCGTTTGCCTTTATTGTATCTTCTCCCATATACTGATTCTCGTTTGGATAAACCATATTTGTCGGAATATAAACCTGGAACTTGTAAAGGAAGTCTATCTCATCTCATATACTTACCTTCAGACAGTATTTTTGAACAGTTTCTGACTCCGGTCCATATATGTGAACGCAGTCTACTTTCGCTAAAAAAGATAATGGACGATAATTTAACTTCACATTTTGGAATATTTGACGATCTACTAGAAAAGTCGTTTTGTGTTAAACCATTTGATTCCCGCCCTAACGTAACAGGAGAATGCCAATGTCAGGAGTGTCAAGTAAGTATTATTTGTAAAAAACACTTGTTCATGTATACACGACGACCTTCTTAGTTTTCTTATATGGTTTCATTATATTTTGAACATTTTAAACTTTGCTTTAACTATGATACAATAACCAAAGATTAGACCTAACCATCACGTCCTAATTGATTGAAGAATGAATGACTTACGAGTTAATTTCCTGCAATCACATACGATACTTTGTATGTATTTTGCGTTAATGTTTTGTGTATAAGCACGTAACTTTATTGCTTAACCCCCCCCCTATTCTCGCTTAGCCGTCTTGTTCCCTATTTCTAATAATTCGTGGGCTTAAGTCAATAATATGATCTCGTGAGCACCCATCACTTGGTCATATCATATCATTGCGTCCATCTATCACTTAACATTCATTAATTTCAAATGTCTAGAATTTGGTCTAACTATTAAAAAGCCTCTCCCATAAACAAATTAGGCTTATAAAAACATTTCATGTAAAAGCTTGAGATTTATTTATTTATTTAAACACATAAATATTGGTACAAGGAAGCACCAGATACATATGCGCCTCACAAATCTCATTCGATTTGCTTGAGGGCTGTGATACTGCCCAGGTGCCCAGACTGAAGCAGGTGGTTTTCTTAGGGGGCCACACCCTGAGCCCTTGACCTGAAGGTCTAGTCCACAAGGCAGTGGAGCATCGTGAGGAGATGCAGTCCCATGGTAGCCGGTGACCAGCGATTGATTCATACGCCATTTGTTCCCTCAAGATACTGGAGCCCATGTGCACCATTGGTTCGGAATCAGTGTTTTCCAACTCCCGTAGGTGGACTCGCCTTGTCCACCAACCCGATTAAAGCGCCGGACATTCGCTTTTCGTCCTCTCAATTTCGTAAACAACAGTAATGCCACGAGAAGGCAGTGAGTAGGACTTCCCTGTCAGAGGCTATATATTCGCGTGGTCATGTGAGAGCATTTCGAGAGGGAGAGGTGACTCTTCCCACTCTCGGCCGTACCAGAGCATTTGGAGGCATATAAAAGAAAGGTTGTATATAGGGATATAGTACAGGAAAAAGGACAGATGGGAAGCAATTTTAATCTCAAGGTTTAAGGGAAGATAAAGAGTGTATACACCTATGCCATTGTGATCGATTCTGAGCCATGTCACCTAGAGTCTCCAACCATTATTTACGATAGTCTCACGGACCCCAACCAAGAAGTCTGGATCTACCAACATGGCTCTGACTAGAAGTTAGTGACTTCAAGCTCTGATGCCACGTTTTGGTTTGGCCACCCCTAACTCTTTTCCAACCATCCCCAATACTAGTCAGCATAGCGCGTCATGGTAATCGGTGTCCAGGCGTACGTAACACGTGAACCAACCATCTCATTCGATGAAGATTCATAACCTTATCAACTGATTTACCATCATTCCCTTATACCCTGTGTCTAACCTCACTATTACTTACCCGGCGATCCCAGCAGATGCGAGCAATATATTTAAGGCATCTGTGGTTAAATACTAGTAACTTACGCGTATTTTCTATTCATAATGGCCACGTTTCGCAGTCATAAAGTAGAACAAAGCGAACTGCTGTACAGTATACTCGTCCCTTAATTGCTAGACGGATATCTCGCCTTCGCCATAGATGACATATATATATATATATAGTTCTGACCAACAAACTTCACATTACCTTTGCTGTACAATAATTTAGTGGCTCGATATCTGACTCCAGTAATATTGTATGATTGGTTGTTATTGAAATATACATTCCTCCAAATCGTCGTATAAAATTATCGACTTACCTTGCGTTATTGAACAACGGAATTAATAAGTCAAATGCGAAAATGAAGTTTTGAATACGCATGTTTTGTACACTCATTAATCTGAACAGACAATCAGAGGGACAAAGCGAAATGACATGCGGTGGCAAAGGCGTGTGAGTCAACTCGATCTAATCAAGCGTTAATCGATATTTATAGCCGAAAAATAAGTTGCAGACATCTGACGAGTAGGATAAGAAGTGCACACACACATATAAAAACAATCAAGGTTGATAAGCACATAATTGACAAGGTCAAACTGTGACTCAAGAAAAATAAATAAGTTGACCTGTCCAGAAGCTAGAATAAGTTGTGGACTTAACATAGTAACCGACACTACAATAACCAGTTCTTACTATTTGTTCCAAACGATCTGTGAGACCCTGGTGTTTAGAAAAACCTTCAAAGCTATATTGTTTTGATATTTTTAGAAATAAGCTATCAGAGGTCTTGAAATAACACGATATAAAGTTTTTCGTAGCTCCCATTCACTTGTAAGAAGTGGCAGTTGGGTTCGTGTGCTGATAACGTCTCAGCCTCTTTTAACAGCCAGTGGGTTCCATTGTAATCAAGGCTACAATATTTTTGCCATTTTCTATAGATTGATTTAGTGTCTTAAGAATTAGTATTAGATATCCTTTAATTTTCGGTTGTCCGCACAAGTAGTTTATATAACCTGTTTGTAGTACTCAGTTTCTTTCACCGTTTCCTAGCCCAATATTGGTTAGGTTATACTAGAAGAAATGAAGAAGCATTATTAAGGCTGCATACAATGGGATATAAGACCCTTTTAATTTATAAAGTACGTATTTATTATCTATTCTCCGTCCACCTTGAATGTGTCGTCAAGGTCGATTGCTTTTACGGTTTTAGAATGTGGTACTGATTTCTACAAAAATAGAGTAACAACGACGAAATTTGATCTGTGTTTCTTTCAAGCTATACGTTTTATGCACTCATAGTGGGATTTTTCAAAATTCTAAAAATTAGACACTTATTTTTTGAACTTTTTACGTTCTCAACTGTAAAATATTTTTTTTATTAAACTAGGTTGTTACCAATATAACTCAAATTCACAGATCTTATGATTTAGTGAAAAGATTTTCATTATTCTTATCTTATATAGTACACAAATCTATGTTTCTTAGGTATTCTGTTGGCTAAGTCTTCCTACTTTTAACCATCATGGTGTTCAAATTACACCCCCATTACACTTGGGCAGCTGAGTGATATCTCTACCCTCTACATATGAAGTCCATCTCAAAATCTAGTACATGGTTCTATACATGATTACTGACTTACAGTCAAATATATTCCATTAAGTTGCGTTATTTAGTAATGAGATAATTCTGTGTTCAACTTACCATAAATATATCTTTAAAATTTACATTTTGTCTTTAAATTAAAAGTAGTAGTTTAGAAAATGTAATGACTTATCAAAATGCTTACATGTTACTACTGGTGTGGGAGTGAAATAAACTGCTATCCGTCAATTGTATAGTGGAATAAGACTGATATGGTCTGATGCACAGAATAGAAGACAGTAGGTGAAAATGTATTTATATACCAACCATTGATTCACAACTGATTAAAACGATATCAACATTTCTAGTGAAGTATATATCATTTTAAATACTTGTTCAGTAGGTAAGTTTAAATACACTGTATTGGCAGTAATTATCATTTTTTAATTAATAACTCAACTGCTTTATCTGATAGATATAATTTAATTACTAAGTTTTATTTTTCCCCCTTGTGATAGAAAAGTCACTAGTCCTGAATAATTTAAACTAAACCATGAGATTTAACATCGATATTATTCCTAAAAATTAATTTGTTTGTACTGGTGTCTAACATAAATCGCGTTTATATATTAGATGTTAGTTACGACTTTAACTGTTTCAATGCTTTGGGACAGAACTTGGCCAATTTTTCAATTAAATACGGTTAGATCGTTAGCTATTAAGCTTGTATATTTTTATAGTTTTCACTGTGTCTAAACTAGTATTATCACTTAACTATGTACACAGGTAAATAGTATAACGGGTTTCTGTTACTAAGGCATCTGTATGAGCTCATTTGAGTTGCACATAATCTATCGCAATAGAAGAATATGTATAATTTTGGGGTTTATTATTTTGTCTTTACTCTTCTACATTTAATATTGATGGTCTCTCCAAATGTTACTTTGGCTCTCTCTTCCTGAATCAACCAAACTTTTAACTTATTTTATGTGTTCCTTAATTTGTTTGTTCGTTTGATAGTCACTCTTCCATTCGTCTCTCGTTATCTATCAGTTAGTTCCTCTCACTTTAGTCTATTGATCGTCGGTCATTTTTCTGGTCTTTCGAACATTTTCCTGCTTTTCTAAATAATGTATAAGTGTTTGTTGGCATGCGTGTGTCTGTTCATAAGTTTACTCAGATAGCTTATTCACTTTTATGCTTGTGAATGCGATTATATATCATCTTCATAAACTCACATAAATCGTTTAAATCATTTAAATAACCTTTAAAAATAGTCCTTTTGCATCTGAAATAATCTCAAATATTTCTATCTTATACGTTGTCTTGTTAATCGGTATTACCTGTTAGTTTATCTTTTAGTATGTTGTTTTGAAAACCTGACAAATAAATAGGATTTTAAGCTCTATCAGTTTTAAGAGTGACTGAGTAAAATCATGTAGCGTGACTTTTCTAATAACTATTCCTCAGTATTTCTTCTAGTTACTTGGTTTCAATCTATAGTAAATTTCCAATTAAAATTCTTCCACTCGATTCTTTATACATTGAAGTATGTTGTCTGTTGTATTCTTTTACATGTTATCATTAACCATATATAGTTCATTTTCCGGTGCCATTGACTTTGATAGGTTTTAATAGATTTTGAAACGTAACTTGATGATTTGGCCATTTAGCTTCGAATTGTGTTTTGGAAAATCTGTATTGTGCACACTATGTTACTTCTTTAGTACGTCTTTGCTTTGTTGCTAAATCGCACTATTGTTATGATTGTGCTAAATGAAAACCTGTGGATTTCTTAGATATTTAGTTTAAGCTTTTTAAATATCTTAACCATGCTATTCACATTCAACTATAATAATGATGATATATCGTGTTTCGGAATCACAGTATTTTCGTCATTGAGTAGGGAACAAAAAAGCGAATAGTTTTCATCCTGTCTTCTTAAGT